GTGTGTGAAAGGGCGAATGTTGCATGTAGTGTAAAAGCGTTTTGAGTGGTCGGAAGACTAAAAAGGTACTATACAAATACAGGTCAATTTACCATTTACTGCAGGAAGCAGCTTACCCAACTGACCTATTTGAAAAAAATAATTAAATAATATAATTAAAAACAATATTCATTATCAATGTAACAATAATCTAAAATGCTAAATAATGCTGGTTCCTGGTTCTAAAATATGATGATTTGATGGGAAAGTGTGAGAGCTGACTGCGCCATCATGCCTGTTATTTGCTGTGTATGTACTCATGTGCTCTTCTCACTGTGTTTTCAGTTTGAGCCCTATGCATTTCACTCTAAGCTAGTGTTATGTGGACATTTCAAGGACTTTTTGTTTATCACATTTTTTACCTTTGCATCAATATTGAGAAAGAGAGGAAGAGAGTGAAAGAGAGGGGGAGCTTTAATCTCAGCAAAGCAGAGTGCTTTCTTTGTGCGTCCTTATTGCATTCCACATTTGTTCTTGAAATGGGATTTAGAATGTCAAGGAGGGTGTAAGTAATGCTATAAGTAGAATATTTTCATAATCCCCGAGACTGAGAATCAATGAGACTGTTTACTCCAAAGCTCTACATGGAAAAATAAAATCCTGGAAATGGCTTCTGTTACATATCCTCCGCACACGCACGTACCCCCGTTTTGGTAGCTTGCCTACACCTCAGGATGATCTCAGAGTCATTAATCCTTGATATTACATTTTGTTGAAACCTCAAACTTACATTTTTATGAATTTGTTCATTGCTGAACTGCAGGTTAAAAGCGTAAGAGTGATTTTGACACTGTATTCACAGCAGTGGCTGACACCTGTGCTCTCTATCTCTAAATTTAAATCCCTCTGTTACAACCAGGGCCTATTAAATCAATACACTCTGCAGCTAACAGCCCTTTGATGACAGTGGAGCCATTTGAAAATCCTCAATAAATTGAGTACCCCACAGGGATAAGTTGTTGACAAATGTAACCTTATAAATATAAATTAAATGAAGGGAAAAAAACAAGTTTCAATCAAAAAACAAAACAAACTTGGGAGCAGTTTCTTTCACTTTGAATTCCATTATTAATCTTAAATACACATATGCCATTCTTGTCTACATTTTGTGAATGGAATCGATTTCCCTTACACAAATATTAAAATGTGGTTGCCAGCTGTTCTCCACCGTAGCTGGGTTTGGTGCTGATTAATTTACCTCAGCCCTGTTTTCAGAATGAGGAACAAACCCTTTTATCTACTTACTGTATATGAGGCTTCACTCTCCCTTATTCCTTTCCCTCTTTCTCTTTCTCTCTCTCTACTCTGTTCCACGTCTTTGGAGTGCCCCCTCTGGCCTCCCCCTCTGCTTCTATTTCAATATCTCTGAAATCATAAAAATCCTTCAGCCATGTCCCATTTCTCTAAAGCGAATTTAATTCTGAGCAGACAGCCGATGTGCTGTACATCAGGTAATGATGGATGCTGCTCAACATGTGAGGAGAATGTGCTGGCTGAGCAAAACCTCTCCACTAATTATTTTGCCAGCATAAGTAATGGAAACAGGCTTTTCTGTGTGTGTGCCAACGACAACTGAGATCCCATGAGTCAGGGGAGAGGGATTAATAATGGGTGTAATCTTTTGCTAAAGAAACATCTTTAACTGAGAGTGTGACAGTTCTTTGAAACACTGCAAACAACTAGAGTAAACAGTAATCAGAGCTCATTAATTTTCTATGACTGGAGAGAAGTCTGCAAATAATGACCACATTCTCCAACATTCCCTTGTCAGCCCTTCTAAGTTGAGCACAGTGTTAATGTTTTGAAAACATTGGATTTTAGCAGCTAATCACAAAATGGTCTTCCTAGAGGTCCTGCTTGTTGTTGTAATAGCATGAAGGTCACGGGCCATCAATCAGACAGACAGCAGTGATGTGGCAGCTGTAAACTGGTTAAAATGTGCTTGGAAGGCCATAAGCAAAGGGGTCAAGCACTTTGGTGTGAATGTCAAAACAAAACTGATACAATGGAGGGGCACATGAAGCAGCACAAAGGTGAACTGGAAATGATAAAACAAGGGCAGTTGTTTTGTGAACCTGGGAATATCAGGATCTACAGTCTCTCTTTATGAGTTAAATATTACCCTACTGTGTAATGTTCACACCTATAAATACATTTCCACTAACAACAGTCTACATAAACATCTGGTCTTCACTGAATCCATTTAAGAGTGAATTGTATTGTAATTGAAAAAAAAGTACAGACACTGATAAAGGATTTGTGGACTGTGTTAACACCAGAAACAGTGATGAAAATAAGTCCAATGACAAAACCGGATGTGTTGTGTATCATATACAAGTATATTTAAATATTATCAGTAAACCAGACATAAAGAACATTTTGGTCGAATGGATAATTGACCGATCCTAACTCAAGGTCTGCTGACTTTTACAGAGCTTTCAACCACATTGAGTTCTTCCTTAGCAGATCTGGTTTTATCAGGTTCAGTTATAACAGCTCAGCTATCTCAATTACAACTAAGTATGGATCTACAGTCACATGATAACACGCACACACAGAATCTAAACTGGAGAACACCAAGGGACCTGGACAAGAGACTGAATGAAACACACACCATCAGCTAACTGTCTGTGAACAACTGATCAAACCACACACAGCATCAACAGGAAAGGAGTCAAAGGTCATCAATTCTGGAGTCAGTGGACAACCAGAGAAAGATCAAAGAGGACATGTGACACAGGAGACCATTTCTGATCCAACCCACAGAGAGGTGTGTGCGTGTTTGTGTGTCAGTAGTGTCAGTATTACCTGCCAGGCGGAGAGACCCTGAGTTGTATATGGCCTCGTCTCGCAGCTCCCTCACATGCACAGTGACAGTAGAGACAGCATCTGGCCAAACTCCATCGGACACTCGGACCTGGAACTGGTAGGTGCCAGGTGGGGCATTCTCCTTGATGATCAGGAAACCAGTTCGCTTGTTCAGGATAAAATAACTGAGGGAGAGAACAAGCACACACACATCCACAGCAGTTTAATGAAAATGAACATTTAGATGACAGCATTTTAATGCCTTTATTCTAATGCACACAGGCTGAGCCCTGTACCTCCCACCCTCATGAATCAACACATTAAAAAATGACCTTTTACATGTTCAGATAGCCAACCAGACTGAAACACTTTACAATGGCTTGGAGCCCGAGAGGCAGCTGAATCTATAGGACGGCATGGTACTGATTAGTCATCAGGTTATTACTGATGTCTCTAGGTGTGCAGAGATCAGTAATTTCAGTTATTTGCCCATCAAAGGTTGGCATGGTAACCAGGTAAGGGGAAAGAAAAACTTCTTGTTTATAGGGCCAGACGCATCTCAAGACTTCATCTATCAGAGCCAATGCAGTGGCGCAGTAGCGTGCCTTTCATATAGTGAGTTGAAAAGTCACGGTGTGGATGTTGGGCTGGGGGATGTAGAAAGTTACAGCTGCCATGCTCATATATTGTAGAAAGTGACAATTAAAAAATGTTGGCATTGGTCATAAACAACTTTGGCATTATGGATCCCTTAATCAATTTTTCTGTCTGATCCAATACTTACCTTTTAAATATTGTAAAAATAAATTTAAAAAATAAAGAAATTAAATCTGACACTTATTTGAACTTATCACTTAATCCAAATACTGAAGGTCCTAGCTAAAAAATATAAAGCTTATAAACTTGACGCTTGAGCTTGATATGATGCAATCCATTAGAGAGAAGACAAATCATTCTGTTGGAGTTGTTGGAATTACTGTACAGAAACATGGTTGTACAGTAAAGCTGATGTTTCTTTGGGAACAATGTGATATAAAAGGCTCAATGTAGAAGTAAGGCTGAACAACCCTTTCCTCCTGTTTGCCAACAGGACCTGTTACTGTACACAATTAGGACAGACCGATAGAAATACTTTTTTGCATCCCACATGTATAGCCATGTGTTTTACTCAGTGTTTTATTCTGTGTTTTAGTGTTTACTCTGTTTTCTGCTGTAAACCAGTTGCCCTCTGGGACAATAATACAAAGTGAGCAGAGACGATGCATTAGTGAGAGGGAGGAAAGGGGAGAAATGAGACCCACTAATAGGCACAAAGACATGCAAGGAAGCAATTTCACTTGGTCCTTGTCTCCATACGCCCCCCTTGTACAGTAAATGAGCTCATTCAAGTTTAATTACAAAGGAAATCCAAGGCAGATCAAATGGCAAATCAAATAATAAACCACTTGTAGAGACAAGGGCCACATTAGCTCATTTTACAGCATATGCTGTGGTGTGTAGATTATGCATTAGGTCTAGCACTTAATTCTAGATTCCACTAAAATACAATTTTACATCTCTAGTAAAACTACCAATACTTTCCCACTTGGTACCTGAAGTTTATTGACATTTATACTTACATTATTGGCTACTTCTATTTGAGTCAAACTAGGACACATGCAGTAAAGCTATTCTACAAGATGCACTGATGTGCTAAATCAAAATACTAATTTCCTCTCTCTGCTGTTTGTTTAACAAAACACACATACAACTACAATAGAACCTCTTGATCCAAAACACCAGCTAAACTAAACACTCACTGTGAACCACAGCAATTACAGTTGATTTGATGCACTGAAATACAAAATATATAAAAGCAGACCAGAATGAAATAGACTGTTTTGTGAAATGCCAGAACAGCAGTGATAAGACAATGTGTTGTGAACAGCTCTCACCAAGAGATGAGAGCTGTCATAAAATGTTAATGCCTCATATTACACCCAGTCCTTTATATGGGCTGAACTTTGAAAGAGAAGGGAGAAAAGGTTTGTCATTTTGAGTTCAGCTCGGTTTGGAAGGTGTCGTGGGGTGCTGCAGTGTCACTGTATGTGATTGATATAAGTTTTGGGACTTGTGTGTGAGTAATGTATCTGCTCATTGACACTTTTGGCAGAGGAAAGTCTCAAGAAGAGCTTTTCCAGACACAGACCAGAACCTTCACATCCAATAGTGGGAAATCACAAACACATTATTGGGGGAGAAACAAGGGAAGGAGGGGAGGAAAGGACAGAGTTAGGACTCATTCTAGAAGCGCCGCAGAGAGTGACAGCTCCCGCTCCGCCTCTTATTTTTTCGCCTTAAATCTTACTAGTTCTTTATTCCTTCTTAAATAGCACTGTGTTTATTGTTGTAAATAGACATCCAGTGTTTTTTTTTTTGTAGCCGTAGGTGAACTTTTTTAGTTTTAATTTAGTTTTTTTTTTATTTCTTTTTTAAATATAAACAATGTGTGGGAATGTGGACACAACAACCACCACACAACAAAATGCCGGAGGTTATTCACGTGAGGACCTCCTACGGTATCAGGATTTACGCGTCGCATGCCCGAGGGAGATCCCAGTGGAGTTAAGGAGACGAAGGAGAGGAACCAGAGCAGGCACGTTGGTGAGGACCAAGAAGACAGAGAGGTGGTGGAGAT